AACATAAAACTGAAATAAATCCAATTTATTTGAATTCTCGATATTCTTGGTCGATTTTTCCCACGTCATATGGAATTAAAATGTGTTGATATAGAAGACTAATGCCCATATTAGATAATATTTTCAGAACAGTGTATTTTGATTAAAAACCATTAATAATTGGAATGAAAGTGAGTCAAACATAAAACTGAAATAAATCCAATTTATTTGAATTCTCCATATTCTTGGTCGATTTTTCCCACTTCATATGGAATTAAAATGTGTTGATATAGAAGACTAATGCCCATATTAGATAATATTTTCAGAACAGTGTATTTTGATTAAAAACCATTAATAATTGGAATGATTTGTTGTTCTTTTTCGGCCTTGAGTCTCGTAATAGTGCAAGTGGGTTTTTCTTAATTTTTGTTGGTGGGTATGCATAATTTGTTCATGTTTATCATCCTTTTGCCCATTTTGTATTTTTTAGGGAGGTGTCAAGATTTTTTATTTGGCAAGAAAAGTTACAAAAATTTAGTAAGATATCTTAAGGATTGATATGTTTATACTTATTTATGTATATGACTCACTTTGTCATTTGTGTCATAAGCTTAGCTTTTTAAATTATATTTGGTGTGCATGTAGCATCTCTTATGGCATGAGTTCACTGATTTTTTTTTTTAATTTCAGCTCCTTTAATGTCTTTTCCTGGCTCCGCCCCTGATTAGAAAGCATATAATTGTCAGGATGCTTGCAAACATTTGTAGCATAAAAATCCAAATGGGAAAAAGATAGTAAAAGCTACCCAACCTACTAGATCCATTAAATGAAATAAATGCAAAATAAATAAATAAATAAATAACAACAACAAATTTATCCATCCCTAAACATAAACCTAATGAATTATTTGATCCATATTGATGCAATGCAGCCACATGAAGAAGATTGGCGCCTACTAAATAAAGGGAAGTAAACAACGATGATGACTAAAAAATTGATTTAAGGTGACATTGTCTACATAGAAACCCTCTCCAAAGCCACGATACTATGGTATCTCCTGCTACAGGTATGGCGCCAATTAAGCTTGTTTGGGTTACCCTCAATGATCGAGGCTCTATTTTAACTACAGATCTTGGGAATCAAGGCACAAATGTTCATTCAAAGACACGTGGAGTCATGCCATGGCCCCTTTATGTGGCGACTTGGTATTCAGGTGGATCTTAATAATTTATATACAAAATAGTTGTAATTGAAATCGATATATGTTGGAGATCCTTAAGAAATTATGATAAAGTGTTACTTTTGGTGTCACCGACACACCTTCATCAAGATTAATGGCTATTATATTGGCACTGATACTGTAAGAATTGAAGACCAAGCTATTTTAAACTAACATATTTTGTTCAAAACTAACTTATAAATAAAAATACATTAATAAAAAAAATTATAAGCAAAAAAATTACTTTATAATAAAAAAAATCTCTTATAAGTAAAAAAAACACTTATAAAATAAAAATTACTTTTTGCGTAAAAATTTGTTTAAAAAGTAAAAATACTTCTAATAAGACAAAAAAATTACTTATAAAACATAAAAGTTACTTATAAGTAACAAATTCACTTGTGTATAAAAATTATTAAGCCCCTATTTGACACACATTATTTCAAAATATATTATTTCAAAACTCATTTATAACTACACATTTTTCAATAAAATAATATTTTCCACCGCATCAATAACTTTTCCTTACTTTTTAACTACATATTTCCCATCATATAATTATTTAAAATATATTTTTTCCTCAACAATATCCTTCAAACACACCCTCAAAGTATAAAAGTAACTTATTGTAATTCACTTATAAGTAAAAAAAATACAAAATTAAAAATCTAAGTAAATATTAATTTATATGTAAAAAATTATTTATAAGTAAAATATCACTTATGAGGAAAAAGATTTCATACAAGAAATTATAAAATAAGAATTTCACTAAATTGCATATATGTAATTTTATTCTTTTGAAAAACGTTTAGAATCGATGAATAATAAACTCTTTAGTACGGATTGGACGATTTTAAAAATTGTTAATAAAATCACAGGAAATCGATCAATTCATAAACGTTCAAAATTGATACTTTAAAAAACGCCCATAATTGGTACTCAAAACTCCCAACCAGGCCCTAAAAATGGATTTTTTTTCCTGGTCTTCTAACATTTAACATATCAACCGTATATCACAAGAAAATCATATTACTCGTAACTTCATCGCCTATTTAAAATATTATACTAAATTTTTAAAACAAATGACATCAACAAAGTTGACAGATTCACCGATTTCTTATGGCTTTCTTTTATTAGTTTCTCTTTTTTTTGCTAAAAACTACAGAAGGAATCGATACTGTATGAATTATGATATTTAAAGCACGTTATCACTTTTAAATTTTAGCCCATATTCTTTAAAATAGCGTGTTCGATTGTGCTTAAAATCTAATTAAAATTGAAAATATAGTCGTTATTGGGTCCCACTCGTCTAATAAAAGTCAACAATAACGACTAAATTTTCAATTTTAGTCCGATTTTAATCTCTACCGAACACGCCCTTATTTTTAATTATACATTTTGTTCAATAAAGTAATTTTGCATATATATATATATATATATATATATATAATTTGGAAGTGGAGGTTGCTCAGTATCAACGTTTTGGACCACTTAACGTAGACCATAACATAAATATTTTAAAAAAACAGGTAGGTGTTTCCTAGTCAACCTTGTATTCATTGCATTGCATGTAATTTTTTTGTTGCCTTTCTTTTCGCGATAATTTTCAAAAGGCTAAGAGTTGACTTGGACTAAGAATTTAAGGTCTTCCGATATACTTAAAAGTAACTTATTTAACACGTTTACATAGTTAACTTTTATATTATTTAAAATCATTTTTTAGAACGAAAATCAGTCGATATGTTTGGAAAATAACTTTAAAGTGCTATGTAAAGACGTGAGAAGGTACGACCTTATTTCCAATGAATAATCATTTAGCACAATTAGTGCTTAATACTCATTTTTAGATTTCACGTTGTTCAATATATAAAAGTGCGTTCCACTTTAATCGAATAATGGATCACTATCGTATAAATTAATGCTAAACACCCCTCACTCTAAAATTATTACTCAATCGCAACAAAGTAAACGAGATTAAGCTCCTAGTTGAGCCTCAATTTTTTAAATTATTTTTCTCAATAAAATATTTTTACGCGTAAATTTAGCCTCTGTTTGGTATTAATTAAAATCAAAGTCAATATTTAATTTTAACAATACATATTATGAGATACACAACTTTTCAATTACGTATTTCATCGACTTTATCATAATCCACAATAATTTTGATTTTAATCCCACCAAATATGGGCTTAAAACTTTTCCAGGTGTAATAAATTGCCTTTTCTAAAGCCATCAAGCAAATGGGGATTAATTAAGCAATTGGTATGGTGCCCCAACTAAGATTGATTTGTCCTTTTTGAAAGCCACCAAGAAAATGATGGAATCATTTCTCTATTGGTGTGGGTGGTTGGGGGGTCCCCCCATCCCACCCCACCCCACCTTGGAGTTGAATTTGGTGAGATTTGTCCTAATTTATTCACGCTCTGTTTCCACGTAAAAGAGAGGAAATTAATGATCACAAACAATGTGTTTCCTGCTAGAAAATAGTCTTCCAACTGATTCACGTTTTAACAAACATTATGAAACGTGCCATAGGAAATTCGAAAATACCTTGATAATTAGGCCAATTTATGGAGAATCATATTTAAAATGTGAAAAATAAATAGAGATTGCATAAAAAATTTGGTGTCTGCTATCTTCTTTTGGACAAAAATCAGTTTTAACCTATTCGTAAATGGGTAATCGCAGTGGTTGATCCAGGAATTCCGATAAGTACAATCGATTCCAAGTCAGTATGGACGACCGTCCAATATAAGGAAAAATAATTTTTTTTTATGAAACCAGTACGGACAACCGTCCAATATAAGGAAAAATTAATTTTTTTGACGAAACTAGTACGAATGACCTCAAGGCTCGTCAGGTGTTGGCTCCGCCCAGGATAACTGGAGTGGGCACGAAGCGTCGGTTGTGAAGGGGGCACGAGCTGGGTGTGAAATGTGGGATTTGAGTCCATAGTGTGAATTTATTATTAATTAATACAAAACAAAAAAAATAAACCTGATTGGTGATTGGTGGTCCCTACTCCCTTGTGACAAATTTACATGTAATTTCTGTAACAATAAGGTGTTACACGCACATTGTGGAAAACGTGGTTGAAGTCCAAATCTAGACGATAGGAAAAAAAAAAAGAAAAAGAAAATGGAAAATTTCAGTCAAGTCCTCAACGTTTTTAAAAAGCGCAGAAATATCTCAAACTTTTAATTTTGCACCATCATTCCAAACGTTTGCTGAAATTGCTCCCTTTTTTCTGTAATGTTTTATTAAGATTAACTGAATTGACGATTTTGCTCGTGGTTCATGCGCTAACTAGAATATTTTTGGATCAGATCATTTAAAAATTCTTCAACTAATTTTTAAAAAATATGTTCAATTAAATGTGAAATAATGTGATTTATTTAATTATACATTTCATTTAATAATATTTAATATCATTTAGACTTGTGTTATAATACCAATGATACTAAATAACATTACTCTTTTTTTAATAGGATGATGGTGTCAAAATAAAAGGGTTGGGATACTTCTGCACTTCATAAAAAGGTTGGAGAGCCGACTGCAATTTTTCCAACAAGAAGCAAAGGTTCATTGTCAGGTCAATTTTTCATTGGCAATTGGAAAAAAGAAAAAGAAAAAGAAAACTGATACAATGTGGGGAATAACTGCTTCACATTGGGATTTTCCACTTCATTTCATCATAAATTTCCTCATCTTCCCTTTATATATTCATCCCAGTTGTAGTTTACAGAAAAAACAGAAACCCTGAATTGTGTTGAACTTTAGAGATAGAGATACAGAGTGAAAAATGGAGAAAGCTATTAACAGACAGAGAATTCTGCTGGAACACTTACAACCCACTCCTTTTCATCAACAGACCCCTCAATCTACTCTTTCTGTAAGTCTTTTCTTGACTAATATTACTTATCCCATAGTTTGAATTACATTTTATTGTGCGTTAAATGCTCCATTACTGATTCTCTTGGTGTCACTGCTTGTTAACTGTGTGCACTGCTTCAAATTTCTCTAACCACAAGGGTTTGAGTAGAACTGTCAATTCCGACAATTTGAAGACATGTTTGGTACATTAGATTATTTAAGAAATAAAAAGTTCAAATCTTTTACTGTCACAGATCCAATTTTGCCACTTCCCAAACAAGAAGTTTGCTTGTTATAAGTAAGAGAGATTTTGGGAATTTTCTTTCTTATTTGTCATGTTTGAATTAAAAATGTTTTGTCATAAGTTGCAATCACCATTTATATACGCAAGAAATATTTCCAAACTGTTGGGAATTCGTAAGTTGTAATTGTGAAGTAGTACTTGCTCTGCTTGGAGATAATGGTTTTATATTTTTGTATGATATTTAATAGAATTTACTTCCTTAGGAACAAAATCATCCACGTAACTCACTTCAGCTATTATTATTAGATTGATTTTAGTGATAAAAATCTATGTAAAATATAGCAGTTAAAATTGGTCAACAGATACGAAAGTCTTGAAAATAGATAGTAGTTGTCTGCCTTGCTTGTATTGGATATGCAATGATGCATATCGAACATAAGAAAACCTATTGATAGTTTACATGAACGAGTTATGGATATTTGGATGTAAAATAAACAACTGTGACATACAGACTTTTGATGCAATTTATAAATTTGAAAGCGAACATGTAAAAGCAATATTTTAACGACCTGATTGCTTTTGAGACGCCAAATTGTTGTCATGGCACCCGTACTTAGTTTTGTAGAAGTAACTTGTTTGCCAAACCATACAAATTTTATTCATCTTACTTTTGGGTTGTTCGTTGCTTTTATTGATTTTAAACATCAGAAATAATGGTTCAGTAATCCCATAAATAACGTTGCCAAAATCTTGTAAGCATAAGCTAGATAGATGCACAAATTACTTGCTTCTTTAAGGTGATTTTATCTCTGCACAAAATCATAGTTGCCATTCGCTTATCTAACGACGTAAATGAAATGAAGTATGCACCAAATTATATTTGTGCAAAATTGACATTAAATTAGACATCAATCATAAGAAGAATTATATATTCCTTTTAAATGTCCAGCATCTTTCATTCTATTTTCTTTGGCAGCGTTCTATATGTTTGGCTGGAGATAGTGCTGCATATCATAGAACAGCTTCTTTTGGAGATGATGTTGTCATTGTCGCGTAAGTTGCTTCAATTTAAATCAGTCAGTTATCTTCTTGCTTGAAGTAACTAGTCTGAATTTCTGCAAACTGGCTCTCCGACCACTGATTGCTCCTCTACATATATTATGTTTAACAGTGCATATAGAACTGCTATTTGCAAATCAAAACGTGGGGGTTTCAAGGATACTCTTCCTGATGATTTACTTGCTACTGTACTAAAGGTTAGTTATTATGCTCAATTACAACCACTTACAGGGACATGGTAGATCTGAATCTTGCTTTGTCTGCTGGTTGGGGTGCTCCCTCTAGAAAAGCACGCAGCACATTCTTGCTCGATCATTTGCTTTCACTAGACCTCCCTAGAATGCGATACTGGTTCAACATAGGTCCGAAGGGTTAGATTCTGAGTTCACGAGAATAGTCTTTCCTGTTGAATATTTTAGTTTTCCGAAGTGGCAATGAGAAAGTTAACTTTTAGATAGAAGGACCTGGATTGAAGTTTCTCTTACGATCTTTCTTTTATTATTATTATTATTATTATTATTATTATACAACCCTAATTGAAGTTCTATACAATGTTGTATTGCTACTGATTGAAGGCATTGATAGAGCGAACAAATCTAAATCCAGCCGAAGTGGGAGATATAATTGTCGGAACAGTTTTGGCTCCAGGTTCACAGAGAGGAATTGAGTGCAGAATGGCTGCATTATATGCTGGTTTTCCTGGTATTCTTTCTTTTCCTTTTTTTTTTACTGGTTTTTCATTCCAAAAATCTCCACGCTCTTTCGTTTCTTCTGCTGCACCGCTGATACATTTCATGCATAGTTCTTAATTACTTTGGGCTTTAAAATTCTCGTATGAATAATATAATTATTCACTACAAAATTCTTGTATGAATAATATAATTATTCACTACCTGGAATATTTATGTGGGCGATCAGATGCTGCTGACAGTGAAATTTTCAAACACGCGATCTTTCACATGGACTAATCATGGTTTGATTTGGTTTTTAAGATTTATAAACAAATAAAATTATCTTACTGACTGTCAAAACTGCAGTAATTATCTCAAAAGACAAAATTGATCCAATTAACTGGCGATCTCAGTAGTTAAGTTTTTCTTTTCAAACTTAATCTGCCTCCTTCACTAATTCACTTTTTATTGTGTAACTTTCTTAGATACTGTGCCCATCAGAACGGTCAACAGACAATGCTCATCTGGCCTCCAGGCTGTTGCTGATGTAGCTGCCTTCATAAAAGCAGGATTTTATGATATTGGTAAACGGCAGATTATATAAAAGTTGCATACCGAAGTGACTTTTCCACCTTCCCTTTTAATCTTTTATGTTTTCTATACAGGCATTGGGGCTGGATTGGAGGTGATGACAATTGATAATATCGAAAGGATTCAAAAAGTTAACCCAAGAGTATGTTAAAATTTGAATATTTTTTCTTTCAAAAGACTATTACGTCTTAGCATTTATGCTTCAACTGGACATATGCCATTAACAGGTAAACAGTTTTGCTCAAGCTCGTGACTGTCTGCTTCCCATGGGCATTACTTCTGAAAACGTGGCAGAACGTTTTGGTGTGACTCGGCAAGAACAAGACCAGGCTGCTGTAAGTTTGCTACATTTTAATCGTCTAAGGACATATAAATCTTATGCAAGTTAACGCAATTGTTACCCTTGCAACGGTAGGTAATGTCTCATAAGCGTGCTGCAGCAGCATCTGCATCTGGAAAATTCAAAGATGAAATTATTCCTGTTTCTACTAAGGTAAACGTATTCTTTTGCGTCTGTGACAATATTTCTGAATCTTAAATAGTTTACTAACTGTTGGCTCATTTTCAAAGATTGTGGACCCTAGAACTGGAGAGGAGAAGCATGTTACTATATCTGTAGATGATGGCATTCGACCAAACACAAATATGACGGATCTGGCAAAGTTGAAGCCTGCGTTCAATAAGAATGGGAGCACAACTGCTGGTAATGAAATAGTTGCAACGAGTAAATTATTTGGTGGATCACTTCTTCATCAATGTAATGCTACCTCAGATGATTTTTAATCATAATGTGGACATATGACTTCTCAGGAAATGCTAGTCAGGTGAGTGACGGTGCTGGAGCAGTTCTTCTCATGAAGAGGAGTCTGGCTATGGAGAAGGGACTTCCAATTCTTGGCGTATTCAGGTAAAGTACCCCAAAAACCAATAGATATTTTGCATTAGAGTACGGAAATCATATGTTCTAATACTTGGTTGGGTTCGTGACCATAAACTTTATGTTCATTAGTTCTAAGAGACATTGTAGTCGACTAGAAGATCTTATTTACTGGCTATTGTTAAAGTGAAGCATGTAAGTCCAGTTCATATAGCAATAAATTTTTCCTCTTTCTAACAACTTAAGCTTTTACTTGAGGTGGCTCAACAAGGTATCAAATGGAGTTTAATCGATATTAGGGTTAATTTTTTTTTTTTTTAATGCACTTCAACTTTATATTAGATATTATTCTACTTTGAATTTTCTTTATCATAATTGGTGTGACGTAGTCCCTTCCCATCCCACGGACTGTCTGCTCTACCACCATTACCACTTTGTTATTTCATTATAATCTTTACTGGAATATTTTCTTCACAACAGCAGAATTTTACGTTCAAACTGCTTATGATTTGTAGCAAATGTTCATAAACATTTTTACTGGTACATACGATTCTGAACATTGAATATGCATAATCAACAATATTTAACTGAGTTTAGATTTTACTTTGTAGTTCGAGCTTGCCATGTTGTTCTGAAGAACTATCTTGTGCTTCTCTTGTAGGAGTTTTTCTGCAGTGGGAGTAGATCCTGCTGTCATGGGAGTTGGCCCAGCTGTTGCAATTCCAGCTGCAGTGAAGTCCGCGGGTCTTGAACTCGATGACATTGACTTGTTTGAGATAAATGAGGTTCTTTCCCTTGCCGATAATATTAAAAGAGTTCTAGTGGTTTGAACCAATTTATTAATATATCACCCATGTCAACTTGTAGGCATTTGCTTCCCAGTTTGTGCATTGCTGTAAAAAATTAAATCTTGATTCTGAAAAAGTTAACGTCAATGGTGGAGCAATTGCCCTTGGCCACCCCTTGGGTGCTACAGGTAATCTACAGTTAGTCTCAACATTCCAGTTGTTCTCAGATCGCATTGAACTAAGTCATCTTATTGAAATAGAGCTTTTCTTCTGTTTCAGGAGCCCGTTGTGTGGCAACTTTACTGAATGAGATGAAGCGTCGTGGCAAGGACTGTCGTTTTGGCGTGATATCCATGTGCATAGGTATCTCCCTTTCTACGAAAGGATGTCAAGGGGCAGAATTAAATTTCCAAAATAAAGGGGCTTATTTTGCTACGATGAAATTAAGATAAATAAAAAAGATAAAAAATCAATAAAAACAAAAGATGGTGGATCGAAAATCTTATTAGGTACCATTGACTCTTGTATCTATTGTATTCGTTTTGGTACACATCAGTGGATGGTAGTATGCAATACAACAGACAAATTTGAACTTGTTTTCATTCTTTAATCCTATCCAATGCCGGCCAATCCAGTATATTGACATTTTCATGTATGTTGGATTGCAGGATCAGGTATGGGCGCAGCCGCGGTTTTCGAAAGAGGGGATTGTGTGGATGATCTGTGCAATGCGAGTATGGTTACTGCCAACAATCTGTTGTCGAAGGATGCTATGTAGGCACGTTTATTTATCGAATGATAGTCAATGGGTGAATCATTATTGAAGATAATTGAGGCAAACAAAATAAGGTGTCATTTGTAGTGCTAAACTGATCCCGGATCAATACGATCCATCATTTTTCCGTCAAAAGGGATTTCTCTTTATCTTCAACAACAAAAGCAATACATATATTGGCTTCCTCTTCACTCTTTGGAAAGGATAAAATATCGCCAGATGTTGCTGTAGAACATGTTTGATAAATAGAACTGGATGACAGACTACTTAAGAAATCTTCACTATTGATCAACAATGGAAATACAAGAGTTCATCTAAGCAGAAACTTGGAACATAATTAATTGTGTTTGTTCAAAAGGTTTTCGTCCCCAAGATTGCTTAATATATTCATGTCCGTTTCATCGTCGTCATCCACATCATAGCCGTATTTATCATCTTGTAAGCCCAACGAATTTTCACCCCAAGATGCCAATGGGGTAGGAAAGGTCCCAGTCGGGCGCCAATGCCTCGCCAGGACTCTTGACCTGCCAACTCTTAGCTCAGCTCTCGGCTCCATTGAGCCAATCATCTGAAACACAAAGGTGCTAAACCATTGGCGACCTTCATTTCCACCTTTGTGCCTTGCACCAGATAGCCTATCTACATTCTCAATTAAGTAATGACATTTAGTATCACTTGTGTTCAACATCAGTCTACGTGGCATTAAGTGTCATTAAATGTGAGGTACAATTAAATGAATCATATAATTTCACATTTAATTGAACATATCATATAATGCCACATAAATTGGTGCTCGAACACCACTGGCACTAGATAACATTATTCTTCTCAATTAGATAATCACCTAGTACAATAGAACGTGGCACGGCCGAGCAAATGGCACTTCCAATATCACTATACTCTCTTTGGTCTTCAAAATGTCGCCTGGATTGATCCCTCGATGGGGGTCAACGTCAGCAGGTACATAGTTGGAGGACAAACTTGCTCTTTCTACACAGTTGGAAGATCAACTTGCTCTTATAGATAAGTTGACCAAATTACTATTGGAAAATGGAACTCAATATGGGTCTGTTTTGGCATATTTTTGAATGCGACCCATTTCTTTGTTTTGGAAGATCAAAGTAAATTCGTGTTCTCCTCTTAAGATTATCGAAATTATATATTTACTTGACAAAAATGATAGTAGGGCGAATGAAAAATTGGAGTTCAAAGTGTATTAATTGGAAGAGGTTTGTGTTGGAAGGAAAATAGTTGCAGTTTGTTCCACATAGGAAAAATGGAAAGGCAATGACTAGTTTATATATGGTCACATTTTACGAAGGTGTAATCTTCTTTTGCATAGAGGCCCACTCTACGTGCGTATGCAAGGGTTAAAAATCATGGTCAGATTAACACTTCACATCATTGACCACGTATGAGTGCGATATGTGGACACAAATGTCAAACAGAAATTGACCCCTTAGTAACGTGAACTCTAGTGATTATAGCTATTTTAATGGCTATAAATGAAATTAACGCACCAATCATGGAGCTGAGCTTATAATAAAGGATAATCTCTGTTGCATACACAAATTAACTCTCATTTTTTTGGTAAAAAAACATCATCTTCTCTGCCTGTTTGAAATTTTCCATTTCCAGCCCAAGTCTTGGTGATCCAGTTTGTCAATTTAGAAATTTAGTCCTCACTTTCTATTGATTTTTCCATTGTATCTTGATAAATAGACACTTAACGAAATCTGAGCACTCACGATAAGTGAGAATATGTTTTAATGACATTGTTCTTACACAGATTTCGATTTGCTATTCTATCATCCCATTTAGTTGTGATTTTTTCCGTTTTGCATTCGTTAATTTTCCGTTTGTTATTTTTTTAATAATAGCATATTATGATGATTTTACTAATATCTAGTGTAAGATTCTATAATGAAATGGATTGATAGAAAGCCGATAACACAGCTGAATGAAGATGAAAGAAACTTCTAAATTGCTTTAGAATAGATTACAGAAATTCATCTTGATATTAACTTCAATACAAATGCTAATAAATAGAAAAGAGAGGAGGGCAAAAGAGTAAAGACTTATCCTAACAAACTACTCAACAAGAAGAATATTGGAGCACTATAACATGTGCTGTAACGAGATGGCTGGCCAGCTGGTGATATGTTGATCTCCTTATGAATTATATACAAGGTAAGCTGATATGCCAACTACATTATCTAAGATAAGTAAGTTATATGATAAGCAACCTACATTATAGATTCTAACAGCCCCCCTCAAGATGGATAATAGATATTTTCTATTCCCATCTTGGATAAATGTGATCGTAGAGTGATGGAGGATAATGCCTTAGTAAACATATCTGTAAGCTGTGAATGAGTGTTAACATAGGAGGTGCAAATGTGTCCAGCTTCAATCTGATCCCTGATTAGGTGACAATCTAGCACGATATGCTTGGTTCTTTCATGGAATACCGGGTTGGAGGCAATGTGTAATGCCGCATGATTGTCACAATGTAGGAGAACTGGTTTAGAGATATCAATTTGAAGGTCTTTTAGCAGGTACTTTAACCATGTGATCTCACAACACGTACTAGCTATTGATCTATATTCTGCTTCAGCAGATGATCGAGATACCACGCTTTGTTTCTTGGATTTCCAAGAGATAAGTGATTCTCCAAGGAAGATACAGTAACTAGTGACTGATCTTCGGGAATCAGGACATGATGCCCAGTCGGAATCACAAAAAGCTTGAAGTTTTAGTGTGGATGAAGATGGGAATAAGAGTCCTTGTCCTGGTGCCGTTTTGAGATATCTGATTACTTTGTGAACTGTTGCCAGGTGCGTGTAAGAAGAGGACTCCATATACTGACTAAGGTTTTGAATTGCATAACATATGTTTGGTCTGGTTAAGGATAGATACATTAGTTTTCCAATCAATTTCCTGTAAACCGTGGGATCAGGTATTGGTTTTCCTGTGTTTCTTCCCAATTTCAGGCTCTGGTCCATAGGTAGTCTGACCGGTTTAGCTCCAAGCAGCCCTACATTTGCCAGCATATCTAAAGTGTACTTGCGTTGAGAAATAACAATTCCCTTATTTGATCTTGCAACTTCAAGGCCGAGAAAATATCTCAGATCGCCTATTGCCTTAATTTTGAACCTTTTGCTGAAGAACTTTTGAATTGTTTCAATCTGAGGCAAATTGGACCCTGTTATGACTATATCATCTACATAGACGAGCAGAGCTGTAAATGAATGATCTGTCGCCATTGTGAAGAGGCTGTAATCAGCTTTTAACTGAGTGAACCCAAACTCTATAAGTGTTGCAGAAAAAATGGAGTACCATTGCCTTGAAGCTTGCTTCAGGCCGTATATACTTTTCAATAATCTGCAAACTTGGTTGGGAGTTCCTTTGGTGTAGCCTAGAGGTTTTTGCATATATACTTCTTCATTCAAAACTCCATGAAGGAAGGCATTGCTCACATCAAACTACTTGAGGTGCCAATTCTGAATCGCAGAAACAGCTAGTAGACATCTAACGGTAACAAGCTTTGCAACAGGCGAGAACGTTTCATTGTAATCTATTCCCTCCCTTTGTGTATATCCTTTAGCCACAAGCCTTGCTTTGTGCCTCTCAATACTCCCGTTTGAGTTATGCTTTAGCTTATATATCCACTTACACCCAACTGCCATTTTTCCTGGTGGAAGATCAGTGAGTTTCCAGGTTCCATTTAATTCAAGGGCTTCTATATATGAGTTCATTGCCTTGCACCAATTAGGGTCATTCACAGTATGGTGATATATGCTGGGTTTGAGGTGTGTGCATATAGCAATTAAAAAAGCTCTGAATTGATGTGATAGTTTATGATAAGAAATGGTATTACAGAGAGGAAATGCCTTACCTGTAGATGCTATAGACCTTGTCTTGGGAGGAGATTGGGATGAGTGAGTTGCAATGACCTGATGACAGTGAAAATCTTGTAGGTACTGAGGAGCCCTTTTTACCCTTGTAGACTTTCGAGTGGTAGGTGATGAGGGAGGTGATGTTTGAGGATCGTCTTCAGGTACAAAATCATTTGAAATGTTTTGATCAGGTGTGTGTGTATCAGATGATTGGAGTGTGGTATCTGATATAGGATAGATGTGATTATCAATATCAGGGAGTGGTTTTGTAAAAATGAACTCAACATTATCAGTGGATTTTTCAGCTTGTTTGAAGGGGAAATAAGTCTCATGGAATGTCACATTTCTAGATATAAATATGGTTTTTGTTTGTAAATCCATTACTTTATATCCTTTAACTCCAAAGGGGTAACCTAAGAAAATACATTGGTTGCCTCTAGGATCAGATTTCTTTCTCCTTTGTGTCAATGTTGAAGCATAGCAAAGACATCCAAAGGTTCCAAGGTGAGAATAGTTAGGTTTGCACTGAAAAAGGATATCAAATGGTGACTTACCTTCTAGCAGAGGTGTGGAAATTTGATTTATCAAATATGCTGCTGTAAGAACAAACTCATTCCAATAAAATAGAGGAAAGCCTGACTGAAATTTCAGAGCCCTGGCAACATTCATCAAGTGTTGGTGCTTCCTTTCAACTACACCGTTTTGTTGAGGGGTCTCAACACATGTTCTTTGATGAATGATCCCTTTTGAGTTGTAAAATTCGATCAATTTGAATTCAGGCCCATTATCTCTTCTTAAAATTTTAACTGAATTTTGAAATTGATTTTCTATCATTTGAATAAAGGCTTTAATGGAATGATTAACATTAGATTTCTTTTTAAGCATGTAAACTCAGGTGGCTCGTGAATAATCGTCTACAATTGTGAGAAAATATTTGGACTTATCATGAGCAGTAGTAGGGCAAGGGCCCCAGATGTCACAGTGAATAATCTCAAACACTTGTTTAGTCTTATACGATTTGATAGGAAAATGTTGTTTATGTTGTTTTGCCAAATGACAAATGAAACAAGGAACATTGCTGGTTTTCTTATAATGAGAAACAAT